GTATCAGGCGATTCCAACGTAATCTCAGATGCACGTATTCCTAAACACTGGTAGGGTTTTTGGGTCAAAATAAGATGCTTTGTTAAATTGTCTAATACTTATTATGATACCGTCAACTTGGTCATATTGCTTTAGTAAATTGTGACTTGTGATGTGATTAAAATGTGTTTTGTCATTTCCTCACTAATTGCGCCTTTACATATCATTTTGGTACTATCATTTTAAACATATCATTTTGGTATTATCATTTTAAACATATCATTTTCTACATATCATTTTGGTATTATCATTTTAAACATATCATTTTCGACATCATTTTCGACATATCATTTTCGACATATCATTTCTAACATCTCTTAGCAATATGCAAATGAGGTCAAAAGGCGTGGCTTCCAGAAAAAAGTTTTCATACACGCTAATACCTCCCAAGGAAAGATAATTCGGAATAACCGCTCATCGTCATACATTTTCAGCAAACAAAAACAAACAACAGTAAAGCTCTGCTCTGCATATAATGTTCAAGAGTGGCAAGAAACCACACGTCTACAATAGTACTACACTGCGTGGCAAATTCTTAAGGCTATTTACCACGATAACTTTTCGTGGCAAATTAATAAACCCCTTAGCAGTCGTGTAATGGTCGATATACTCTTTTTCCTTTAAAATTAATAGTTTGTGGTCTGAGTAAGTGTAGAGGTTATTTCCCCTTGAGAAAGTAATGGCTGAAAGCTTAATTATTACGTCAACCTTTAACATAGATATTCATAATTTTTGGTTTATATAGTTAGAAGAGGTTGATAGGCCCAATATTTATTGTATGTGTTAAGATCTATTGTGTACTTTTTCTGATATGTGTTATGGTCTGCCATTCCCTTTTTGCATATGAAATTCTATCGATTTGCTTGGTGTACTTTTGGACACTCCACCCCTGATTTTCGCGGTGGAGTGTCCAAAGAGAATCTATTCCCACCAGCTTTTAACGTAGGAAGGATTCTTTCAACTTTGTTAACCCTCGTTTAAACCTAGTTTTGTCCGGTCAAAACCCAACCCTGATTATTGTACGTTTTAAGTAGTATATGTCTTTTCAGATATTGCGCATCCAGTTTGATCCGGTTTTGAGATGGCAGGTATATGTCTTTTCGGATATGACGCATTTCACTTCTGCGTCATATCCGAAAAGACACAACTGTTAAAATGTATTACAACAGACTCCCCAAACTGTTAAAATGTATTATAACAGACTCCCCAAACTGCTAAAAATGTATTATAACAGACTCCCCCAAACTGTTAAAATATATTATAACCGACTCCCCCAAACTGCTAAAAATGTATTATAACAGACTCCCCAAACTGCTAAAAATGTATTACAACAGACTCCCCAAACTGTTAAAATGTATTATAACAGACTCCTCCAAACTGCTAAAAATGTATTATAACAGACTCCCCAAACTGCTAAAAATGATCCGGTTTTGAGATGGCAGGTATATGTCTTTTCGGATATGACACATTTCACTTCTGCGCATGCGCAGCTTTTTCATGCGTCATATCCGAAAAGACACAACTGTTAAAATGTATTATAACAGACTCCTCCAAACTGCTAAAAATGTATTATAACAGACTCCCCAAACTGCTAAAAATGTATTATAACAGACTCCCCCAAACTGCTAAAAATGTATTATAACAGACTCCTCCAAACTGTATTATAACAGACTCCATATAAATTACCCAAACCACAGACAAGAATCACTATAATAATACAGTATAAAATAACCGCATTAAAAAAAAATAAGATGTCTTTAATTTTAAAACACGAACAAAAAAAATTCGAAGGAGACGGTTTCTTCTCTGCGCTAACATCTCTCATCCCCAAAGTGGCCAACTTTGTCTCAAACAACAAATCCCTCATTTCCTCAGATGCGCAAGCTCTTGGATGTGTGGCAAAAGCAGGAGTGAATATAAGCGGTGCAGTGAAAAAATCTGACGAACTTAAAGAACTGCAGCTAATAAGAGAACTAAGAAACCAGAGACTAGAACGACAAGCCCTAGAAAAACAAGGAAAAGAGTTTAAAATCATTGGATAAAAATGGCAAGCAAAAATTACAGATAAAAATTCAATATTCGTTCAACAAGAAGAAAGAGGATTACATAATCATCTCACCATCGGTAGGGACAAAGACCCAAATAAACGACGGAGGAAGAGTTACCTTTGAAATTAATTCGCTATCCAATTGGTTGCTGCTTTCCGATGCCCATTTCCGATGCGATTTCAAAATCAAAGACGCCACTCAGAATCGAATTCCACAAACCAGAAAGAGTGTCTCGCGGAGTAAATCACGGATTTGACAAACGAGCGCTTCAATACAACAATGTTGTCGAGAACAAGAGATGGGGTAATTATGTAAATTGGAAGTTGTATCCTTTATTTGGTCTCTTGGAACTCACTCCTTCCGTAGAAGTGGAAACGAGAATATTCAACTCTTTAACCAAAGACATAGAAATTGCTTTTCTTCGTCGTAACACCGTAGGTAGCATGACTTTAACGGGAGAATCTACAACGTGGCCAATCACCAATACCTTCAAACCAGCGAGATATCTAATGGTCGGTTTCAAAAACTCTCAGACAAACAACAACATTTTCAGAGTGGCATTGAACCATACTCAAGATCCCGTCATCCGCAAAGTTCAAGTCAGATTGAACAACGATAATTATCCCAATCAACCTTTGACAATTGATCCTTCCAAAAAAGATTACAACGAATTGTACAGAAACTATAAAAACATGTGCGAATTGTTTGGAAATACGCCTCAGTTTGAATACACAGATTTTTACTCAATCATCCAATCTTTTGTTTCGATCTGTCAGCTCATCAAGAAGATCTTTTCAAAACAGGGGTAAACATAAATATTCACATCGATAAAACACAAGGAGATGTAACCGGCTACTGTTTATTGCTGGAAGAAGCAAAACATTTGATTAAAATATCAGATAGAAGAATGATAAGAATTGAATAATAAAACACCCTTTAAAAATGAAACCAGAAACTTTAGTTCTGAAAATAATAGAAGCTATCGAAACGAATTCGCCGACTCTAATAACTTACAACGGTAAAAAAAGTGCACATAACCCAAAAGATTATCGATAAATACAAAAATTGCAAAGTCAGAGACGATATAGACTTGAAAAGAATTGATCAGAATTTAACTAAAAAAGGTGGATTTTTACCTTTCTTACCTTTAATCTTTGCTGGTTTAGCTGCAGCAGGAGCAAGCACGGCGAAGCACGTAGACACAATTTGGCAATGGAAAGAGAAGCACGAGGAGGTTTGGGAGTAGGAGATATATTAGGGACGGTCAAAGAATTCGGACAAAGATTTGGCGAAGAAACCAAGAAAACCGTTAAAGAGGGATTAAGCAAATTAATAGATAACATCGACACCAGAGAAATAAAAGTCAAACACAAGGGATAAATCACGGAATGGACAGAGACACGTTTAAACAGGTTTGTAAAGCTCAATGGAGAAACCCGGATGATCATGGATATGTATTTGTTAATTCTAGAAAACCTGCGGGAGAAAGAGTTATGATCGACATATGTTAATTTTATTTTTTTAAAAATGACTGATTGAAATAATATTTTTAAAAAGAAATAGAGAATATATCAAAGCTAAGAATAAAATAAAGACCCAAGTTGAAAATAACAGATTACAACAACTCGGATTAACGGAAAATCTACAGACTCTATTTCAACCCATATTAAAAAGTCAAGAAGATATTAAAAAGAGACTCGCCCTAGAACCCCATAAAGATCCACCGATTGAATATGGTAGTATTAAGACATTAGATGATATACAACGTCTTTTTTCAAACCCTGACCCAGATTTACCAAAGAGCATTTCACCAATCATTGATGAAGTGGGGTTATTGTTTAATGGTTTTAGAATAAGATTTAGTGGAAATTCACCACAATTCAAAGTCGACACAAAAGACTTCATATTTACATTAACGAGAGGATTAATAGATTTAATGAATGGCAAGGACGTTGAAATTGCCGATTACAAGGATTTAGTAGCATACTCAAAATTTCTACATGCGATCAGAAAGTCAGGACCCGAAACAAGAAGATTGAAAGAAGTTGATTTATATATAACAATTGAGGAAGAGGATGTAGATGATTATACAGAAGATTATCCAATCATACAAGAAATAGACGAATTTGATGATATGGTGGCATCTGGGCAAGGTATAACTTTTTTATCCGACAACAACGAGGAACTAGTTAATAGATTACGAGTAATATTAGCGGCCATGAAGGAAGGTCATCAATCGGACAGACAATACAACGAAGTCAATGGCATATTAAAACGGCTTTTGGAGGAAAAAATCATCACTAAAAAAGACTATATATACGTCATTAAAAATGTCCAATAAAGAGCAATTGTTCGTTATCACCTCGAATAATCAGACATCAAATTGTCTCTAGACTACGAGTATGAACTCGATCGCAATAAACAGTACGAACTGGGATTAAAGTATTTCTCCGTTTACAATTCCATTAGAAATATCAACGAAAAAAACAATCAACTAAAAATATCGACGGATAACAGAGTTACGTTCAAAACCATAACCTTACCACCGGGAAGCTACGAATACGTAGCCATCAATGATTACCTATCCGAATACGCAGGAAGCGTGAGCGGTAAAAACAATATCGAATTCGAAGGTAATTTGAATCTGAACAAAATAAAACTGATCTTGAGAAATAACAGTCAAGTCGATTTCAACGTAGAAAATTCGTTGAATGCGTTACTAGGGTTCGATAAACGAATATACGCGCAATCGACATTGGCGCCGCACAAGGCCAGCATACCGACTTTTACGGTGCCGATCAGATACAGAATTATAGAGAAACCGTTTCAAACGACCTATTTACCAGTCAATTCTTTCTTGATCAACTGGAAATCAAAGACTGTAAAAACAGGTTTTTTGGCAACGAAGAAACTTCATTTAAAACAATCTTCATTCTCTTCTTGAATAGTAAGATAATCGAAATCATCAAATTCATAGTTTTCATCAAAACTATACTCTTCTTTGTCGTTGTAAGGATACATAATTCCTTCACTGTTTGGTGGTTTTCTTTTAACATGAATCAAATAACTTCTAAAAACTTTAGTTTGTTTATCATTTGGAATAACTACTCCATTGGTGAAACTTTTTTCTTCTACACTTATCTTATCATTAGAATAACCTTTAAACATTTTCTTTTCTTTTAAAGCACCATCGGAAGACAAAACGATGTTGTATTTGACTTTTGGTGCTAAATATAAACCAAATATAATTCCACCGTCACCGTAATCGTTTTTACCTTTGCAATAGTCTTTTTCGGAGACCAAACCAGCTCTGTTTAGTTTTTTCCAATTGTTGGATGTAATGTACAAACTATCGGTGTCGGTATAGTATATTTCGGGTTTATAAAATCCATTTATGACGTGAATGAAATTGTTCATTATTTTTTTACTGTGAGATAAAATGAATGATCCCAAATGACTAGGTGTTAGTCGTGTACTATCTTCGGTCTCTTTTTCTTCAATTTCTGTTTCAACAATATATTGAGTATAGTTAATTTTCTCATAGGTTTTAACACGTGAATCAAAGTTAGCCTGTAAAGTTGCTTCATTCCATAAATGTCTAGTTGTGAATATATCTTTCTGAATTGATTTACCATACAAGAAATTATCTAATAATTTCATGCAATTACTACCCACGATATTACCTTCTCGTTTATATTTATTTCTTAGATCTCTCAAAATTAAAATATAATCTCTATAGGGTGGAGTTTCAAAATTTTCTTCGTATACTATACCATCTAATATTCTAATAATTCTTCCACCGGCTTTCACTATTTCTTGAATATCGACCGATGTTAAAACGTCGTGACAGAAACCATTTCTGAACCTGATTTTGTTACCCGTTTCCTTTTTACCTTTTTTATTCGTGAAAGTGATTTTTATACGCCCACATGAAATGGGGGGCGTATATTGTCGTCACCCAAGTCCGTCCGTCCGTCCGCCCGTCGGTCGGTCCGTCCGTCCGTCCGTCCACAATTGCTCGTAAACACTCTACAGGGCACAATTCTTGACGGATTTTAACGAAACTTAGTATATGTGTTCGCAATCACCCAAGGATAAACCCTATTGAAAATCAGCAAAATCGAAAAATATTTAGCATGAATTATTGCCCTTGTTAATTTTAGCTCGTAAACACTCTAGAAGGCACAATTCTTGACAGATTTTGACGAAACTTGGTATGAGTGTTTGTAATCACCCAAGGATAAACCCTATTGAAAATCAGCGAAATCGAAAAATATTTAGTATGAATTATTGCCCTTGTTCTTGCAAACCGTTCAATTTTTAGCTCGTAAACACTCTAGAAGGCACAATTCTTGACAGATTTTGACGAAACTTGGTATGAGTGTTCGTATTCACCCAAGGATAAACCCTATAGAAAAATGAGGGAAATCGAAAAATATGTAGTATGAATTATTGCCCTTGTTCTTGAAAACGCGTTCAATTTTTAGCTCGTAAACACTCTAGAAGGCACAATTCTTGACAGACTCTACAAGTCACAATTTTTTTGTTCATAATCACAATTTACAATAGATGTCATTATTTTCCTGAGAAACTATTTTGGTTAACAAATAAGAAAATTTAATTTAATCATTTAACATGTCCCTAACCAGCCACCATACATGTACAGCATCATAAGATACTATAAATAGACCAAGTGGAAAATCCAAGACAGATATCCAATCATAGCTTAGTCATGTGACATCCCAAGATGCAGCAGTTTATCTGATTTCATTTTATAAATGTCATTCAAGAGAAAAGCTTTGCTTAATCATTTCATTTTCACCAATTGTGCTGATACAAAAATGAAATTAAACATGGGTCATAGGAGAAAGGTTTTGTTTCTTGGAAGATTGAATTGAGTTGCTGAATAAGTAGGCTACTATAGGAAAAATATTTAGTATGAATTATTGCCCTTGTTCTTGCAAACCGTTCATTTTTTTTGGTCGTAAACATTCTAGAAGGCACAATTCTTGACAGATTTTGACGAAACTTGGTATGAGTGTTCGTATTCACCCAAGCATAAACCCTATAGAAAAATCATGGAAATTGAAAAATTTTTATTCTACAAAGCAGAAGTCTAAAACAAATTTGACAACTTGATGAAATTGATCACAATCAAAACTAAACCTTTTGAAATATAAAATACAAGTTATTGCCGTTATTCTTACAAATGTGTTTGGTTTTTAACTTGTGATGGCACAGTTTGTGATGGATTTGGGTATAAGTTGAATATTTCCTGGTGTCTATGTTTGCTATTTTCTAACAAATATTCAATTTCAAACAAAGCTATCAGTGGGCGTATATTACCTTGCCTGGCAAGCTATCTTATCTTTAGCTGGTATCGGTTGGAAGAACATGTTTTTGGGATAGTCAAACCACACTGTTAAAAAAGCTGTTCTAGGTGTGAATTTCTGTTCATTGAAGAGTTTTACAAATTCTTTTTCTTCTTCTGGTAGAAACGGTCTTCCACTTTCCGCTCTCGGATATTCACTGTCTAAATCCGACATGGCGGAAGCGTATAAACCGTTAGCATCAAATGCCATTAGTTTAGTACAGTTTATTTTTTTAAGTCTCGAATGAACCTCCGTTTTGTCTTTTGTGCTTGCGCTGTATTCTTTGAATAAATCAATTATGTTATTACTTTCAAGTTCTGTATATTCCTTTAATACGTTACAAATTTCGTCCATTTTGTTCGTTTCAAATGATTTTCTATTTGCCGAAACTCTTCCTCCTTTAATAGATCGTCTGATAAAATTTATTATAAAAGGATTAGTGCGCGAATAACCTTTTTCTACGTTTTCCTTTTCGGTATGTTTCGGAACCATTCTAGTAGTTTCATACCATTCTTCTTCAACCATTTCTTTATCGTAATGATATAAATAATACCAACCCTTTAAAGATAAAGATGGAGCCGTTAGATTATTGGATATATTCTGGTTTACAACTTCTTTCATGACTTGGTTGTATTTTATCAAACAAGCTCCAAGACATAGGGTATCCCTTTTTGCATATGGTTCCCATTCGTCTCTCAATTCCTCCCAGTTGTCTTGGGTGTATTTAGCGATATCTACGTCGGCAATCTTTCTCAAATTCGCGAGAAGATTTCCCCATGCAGCCAAACTTGATTTTTCATGTTGGTAGGAACACGTGAAACTGCTAATTTTTGCAAATAGTTTTTATCGCTCGTTATTTTTTTCTGTAAATCTTTTAACCGTGAAAGGATTAAACATGGGTAAAGACAAAATACCCGTCTGCGTTATCAGTGGACACTTTGACAACTTTGACATGTTTTTAAGTTCGATCCAGTTGTCGAATCCACTGCCGTTGTGAGAAATTAATATTAATCTCTTTCTATCATATTGACCTAAATATTTCAACATTTGATCTATGCAGTCTAGACCCACAAATGTTTCAATGGTCATTAGTTTGTCGTAATCATCTGTTGGACGTTTTATTCTGTCCAACATTTTTCTTAGTTTTTCCAAATTGACCAAAGTGCAACAATACGGAATTGCTCTTCTCGTGTCTTTTTCTGAATACGTTTCGCAATCCCAAGCGAATAACGCGTCATCACTCATACTTGAAAACACGTTTAGTTTGAGAGGTGAAACCTGTGTTACTGCGTTATCATCTCTACACCTTTTCCACACCTGTTCGTAATTGTCTTCTATTTCTTGAATTCCCAAACTTTTTTGGCTTCTTCTACTCAAACAGAAATGCGAGTTGTGTAAGTAAAAAAACCCAATCTAATTCATCGTGAACGTCTCTGGGATGTAAATGTCTGTTTTTGGGATTATAAATAAATAAATAAAGTCATCACTCCTTTTCTATTTGCTTTTGAAAACCTGTGATGTATTCTTGAAATTTACACGTTAAATCTTTGTTCAAAACACGATTGACGCATTTGATAAAACAGTGACCATCTGTAGGTATGTAACAATTTTCACCTTTGTATTCATTTATCTTTTTAAGTAGATCAGCTCCTCCTCTACCAACTCTCGATCTTTTGATTTCTTGGAAATTGTCTTTCATTAAAATTATTTTTCCTGTAAAATCAGAAGCATCAGATTTTTTGTCCATATTTGAAAAGATATTGTGAAAAGTTTTGGCATTGAAACCGAGGAGTGACATGTATTGTCTGTGATTCCCTTCCTGGACTTTCTCTCCATCTATTTTAATTTGTCCTTTGAATGTTTTAAATTTATTGGAAACAGCCTTGATAACATCGGAAAATAGGACGTTTTCTATCAATGTTTCATCGTGTTCGATTTTATTCATATTTTTTTAAGTATATATTTTTGATTATTTCTTTATTTTGACCGCTGATATTTCAGTATGGAATTTGTCCAGAATTTCATTGAATTCTTTTAATTCTTCAACTGTTATGTTCCTGTCTTCTCTCGATCTTTCGAAAAAGATATACAATTGATTAAGATACATATTCAAGATATCCGTTTTCTTTTTATAATGAGTTTCTTTTTGCTTGTGAAACCTAAAGTGATGAGGCCGCAAGAGGTTGTTTGAACGGCTGTTAATGCAGCCAATACGGTTTGGACGATGACCGGAAGCATCAATCCACGGCCGTTGCCATCGTTACTCCTACCGTTAGAACTGTGCTCGCTGTTTTGAAAAAAAGAATCGATTCTACTCCATGTTTTCCTGCATGAATTGTACTGTCTTAACTTTATTTTCAACTCTTCTTGTTTGTCTATCATGTATTTTTGTCTGCTTTCGAGTTCCATTTTTTAAGTCGTTAAATTAAGTGAATTTCCTAACATTATTATATTTTTGGATATTCAAAATAAAAACATTTACGCGTACTAACAACATTTCTTTTTTCGTATGGTCCTCGTTAAGATGATAGGAATATTTTCTTTTTTCTTTTTCAATGTTTATCTTGGCCTAAAACAAAAAACAGTTTTACGTATTCAAAGTCTGTTGTTCGTAAAAACTCGTGACTGCTCGATTCTATTGGTTCGAGTGTGTGTCTGGGTATTATAAGTGATGGTGGAATTTTGATTATTTTAGTTGATGGTGGATTTTCCGTCTACAATATAATATCTAAATCTTTGATTCCAATGATATCCTTATTATATATTACATGCATTTTAAATTGGTCTACATATTTATCATTTTTTGTTTCAATTTCATATAATCTATCCATTTTATTTTTTAAACGTATAGTCTCTTCCAAATTACCATCATTGAAAAAAAATATATATGAAAACATCTTTACCGTCAGTGATTTGTTTGAAGACTATTTTATTGACTTTAACCTTCATGGGAAAATCTATGTTAATCATATATTTACCTCGAAAAGTAAACGCTTCCGTTTCGCCGATATCGAATACGTTTTCAGGTTCTCCGTCTACGAGAGAAGCTACTTTTATTTCTGCTTTGAATCTATATTTGTTTGATTTATAAATTTGGTCTTTTCCATCGAAGACTTTTCACTTTCGAATGGAAGATTGAAATAATACGACTTGTCCGTGACAATAGCTTCTAATTTGATCAACTTTCTCTCTTGTCTCAAAAAATCGTCATGAATGCAAGATACCAAAATATTGACCTGTTCTTTAATATAATTTTTCATATCATCTCGAAAATTTATTTTGAAGAAAGTTTTTAATCACACCCACTTCTTTTTCTTATTCGTCTGTGATTTTAGTATCCAAAGCAGTCAATTGTTGTTTCAACATATCTTTATCAATGGGAAGTGTATCTTGAACATCTGATTTTTGCTTCCCGATCTTTTCGTTCAATTTTGATACTGAATTTTGTAACTCGGTTTTGTCCGCGGTCTTTTCTAGTTCTGCTAGCAATTCGCCAAGTTTTCTTTCCAAAGCGGTTAGTTTTCGCTTCAATCTATCCTCGTTTACATTTGGGTTATCTATTAAATGTTGGACGTCTATTTTTACCTTCGTAATCTTATCGTCTAATTTAGATATCAACTGACTTGTTTTATCCACTTAAATAAGACTTTTCAAACTCGTTAACTCTTGTTGTAGTTTGGTTTCGTTCACAAGATTTTTGATATTTCGTCTGAGGTATCTTTTCACGTCAGTTATTCTATTTTCAACATGGTCCTTATCTATTTGAATTTGATCCAGGAAATATTTCTTGTTCACGGCATTCACGGTAAGTTATTCAAAGAATCTTTGTGTAGAGCAGAGTGATGAACTCCTTTTTGATCCAACGTGTGAATGTTTGTGATGACGTAAAATTTACCTTTCTTGTATTTCAAATCATCAATTTCATCTCGCATGCAATAATAAAACGGCGAGACGTTCAATTCCTTGGCCTATTTCACAAGTTGAAAGTTTGTGGTTGTGTCTTTTCCGTATTTATCGAGAAATGCATTCATTTTTAAAAGTCATTTTTTTGAGGTGTTATGTTTTTCGAAGTAGGCGATAAGTATTGCTGAAGACCCAATTGACGAAATATATACGTAGTTTGTGTTTGAAAAAACTTGTATAACATTCTGATAAAACACATTCAATAATATTTTGAAGATAAATTTTCATTTAAATTTAAAATATCTTAATTTAAGAAAGCGTATATGCTTGTCGACATCTCTTAATCTTTCATCTTAATCTTCATTTTCGAGATTCATTTTTAAAAGTCAGTTTTTTGAAGTTCATTTTGATAAAACCTTCCTATGATTTGCTCTTTGTCTTGATCGATTGATTCATACGTGGGAGGTGATGTGCTATTTATTTTATCAACGATGAATATCTCGTTAATCCAATACCCAACGTAACCTTTCTGAAACAATGATTTATATTTAAAAATACGAACTCGATCTCCAACTTTGAATTTGGGTTTAATATTCAAAATCTCGTTTTCAAAGTTGTTTCGAGTGTTGACGGACTTTATGATATTAGGGTTATTCGAGGCTTGTGTTGGCGTCACACCTATAGACGAATGTATTTTGTTATTGTATTCGTTTTTGAGATTTCAATTCCGTGAATTTCTTGAATAATTTGCTTTTAAGAGTCCTGTTGAATCTTTCTATCACTACGGCCTTACCTTCGTTATTAGTGCTGTAAATTTCAAACCCCAGAGATTTCACATTTCTGTTGTAGAATTCGCTTCCTTTGTCAACCCACAACTTTAGGGGTCGTCTGTCGGATTGTTTCATTATGGTTTCGAATGCTTGTTTGACAGTCAGACCCGATTTGTTTTTCAAGGGAAAGACCCAAGCGTATCTCGTGTACATATCGATCACCGTCAAACAATACTTGTACCCTCTCTCGACTGGCATGTTGATTAAATCGGCTGCCCAAATTTCATCTTTATCAAAAACTTTGACTTTGGGGTAATGTTTGTTTTTTCGAAATTCTTTGTGAATCTCGTCTGCTATGCCCATACCCAATTTCAATTTTGCCTTCAAGAGTTTTATGATAAGAGCCCTTTGTAATTTCTCTTTGAAAGTGGGATTGGGAATATTTTCAAGTTCGTCTATCATTTGTTAGTCTGCTTGGTGTCTGAATGTTATGTCTTTGTTTCTGTACAGTATGTCGTGTTTGAGCGCTGCTGCGTCAACTCTATTAACGGGTTCTTCCCCTGGTTTGGGATTATCATTTTCGTCTAAACGCAGATCTAATCTCGTGCCTGGACCTGTATAATTGTGCCCTGGGAGAAGATTTTCTCCGAGATATTTTGCCCATGGGAATCCAGGAAGAGAACCCAATGACTTTTGAATGTCTCCAGCACCGAAATACGTTTTAGGGGGATGGATGTTTATTAAAGACATATTTGTTCAATTGTAAAATAAACACCATATATTTTTAATACGAAAGATTTAATACAAGGAGAAAGCGATAAAAATGAATCACTTTATGAAATGTCACGACCGATCCTAATAAGAGCGGTTTGAAAAATGAGGTCACGAGCGATCCTAATAAGAGCGGTCGTGACCTTTAAGTTATGACTGCCAATAGTGTAAGACGGG